CACACACACACACTCTCTCAAACACAGACACACACACACACACACACACACACACACACACACACACACACACACACACACACACACACACACACACACACACACACACACACACACACAGGCTGTTATGTCACTGTGGTTGAATAAGCATAGTAGATGAGAATGGTGTAAAACTCAAATGTCACATATCACTCTGAATGTCCCCCCTGCAATATTTATGTTGTGAATGTAATGCTGTTAAAATGCACTTGAATGAACATGTGTGTGTGTGTGTGTGTGTGTGTGTGTGTGTGTGTGTGTGTGTGTGTGTGTGTGTGTGTGTGTGTGTGTGTGTTTGAGGGATGTCAGATCACCTTTCATCAATCAATAAATCTGATCAATAGTAAATCAAAAAGATGCCATGTTGTGACAGATCTCCTCCTCTCACACACACACACACACACACACACACACACACACACACACACACACACACACACACACACACACACACACACACACACACACACACACAACAAGCCTCCAGGTGGCAAATGACAGACTGAAGATGTTTTATCTGTTAAAGAACAATAACAAGATTTGGGGGGTTGTTTAACAAAGCTGCACATTTACCGAATGCTATTAAAAATATATATGCCCTAAATAAATTTCCTGCATATGATTCAGTATATCAAAAAATGTGTTAGTATTGCATGACGTAGTTTAAAACTTTCTTAAAATAATGACCATTAACCTCCAACCAATTATAAGCATGCAAATAATACATGCACTATGTTTCCTCTCCCACTAGATGTCACCTTAAGCCTTTACTCTCTGAAAACACCCCAATACTACACTTCCATAACAACACTGCACATATTTTATTTTTATTTTATTATTTCAAGTACTTTGCAACAGTATACTGCACGTGGTTCTTTAGTATTTCCAGATTTCATGTAAATAATCTTCTATATCTTAACGTAGATACCATTTTATTTTTTGGTTGTTTTTTCTTACTTTTTATGGTCTTTAGGAATGTGTCTTGGTGGTACGTACATAAACACATTATGCACGTACCACCAAGACACATTCCTCGTATGTTAAGACCTACTGTACTTGGCAATAAACCTGTTTCTGATTCTGAATAATGTCACACTGACTCGTGCCCAAAAACCATGGTTACGATTGAATTTGGAAGAAAAAAAACAGATTAAATATACAGTACGTTTTTTTTTTATTGTGCAACACTGGGATTTGTTTCCTTGCTACATTTTACAGATGATTGATTTTTATTGAGGATCAATCATATATATTTAATTTAAGATTTACTAAGAGTGTTTCAATTCACACATAATGTACGGAAGAGGATTGGTGCCACATGTGTTTAAAAAATTGAGATATTCAATGCAAAAATAATTGCATTTATTGTCTATATTTAAGTCAGAATAATCATTTAAAAAAATCACATGTTTCCCTAATCCTCTCCCTAAGTGTGATTGCTTCTATACATGACAACACATTGCTATAAATATCTGTCACAACACACAGAAATGATTCTTCATAAATCTGAGCTAAGGCTCCACCTCCTGCCTCTCTTCTGGCACTAATCACCCCTCATACATACATTTCCGGTTGGGGGTTAATCCCACCCCCTCCTCCTGCACAAACAAATGTTTCATTCTCTCCTGAAGCGTCAGTATCCAGCAAAAAGAAAAAAACCTTTGTTTGCTGCAGGGATGGATTTTGGAAGCAGATGTGACCCCTGGACATATGAGGATGGGATGACCGGAAGAGGAGCATTGCATGGGTAAACTAAACATATTAAAGCTCCTGTAGAGACATGAGGGAACAGCTGACAGGTGACATAGATGTTGGAGGAAAAGATGGAGGGGAATAAAACGCGAAGTGCGCAGCGCGGATGTGCAGAGGAGCGCATTTATTATTATTATTTCACTGCAGGATGGAGGTGAAATAACATGCATGTTTTACAGTCTCCGTCGCACTGAATCAACGCGTTTTATTTCCTGCTGTAAAACGAAGAGAGGAGCGTTTGTTTTACTGTCTGCAGCAGCCTGATCCTGCAGGGTATCTCGGGGATGATGGAAGTGAAAGAATACTCATGTTTTACAGTCTCCATTACGCTCCAGCTGCAGTGACTGATTTGATCTCGCCAGTTGAAAAAATCAAAAAAGGAGCGCTTGTTTTCCTGTCTTCAGCACCAGGGACAGCGACCATGTGTGCAGAGGGGGGGGGGTTACTGAAGCCTGAGATCTCCGGGTGGAGGGGAAATAACATGCATGTTTCACAGTCTCCATTGCACTGACTGAAAGACGACCAGAGGAGCGCTCGTTTTCGGTCTTCAGCACCGCGGACAGCCACCATGACGCGGCTCCGCAGGAAGGCTTTAGTTTCTCTCTTCCTCTTCACCCTCTTCATCTTCGGGGCCATGATGGGGCTCCGGACCCTGAAGCCCAGCGACGGCTTCTCAGACCTGGCCCCGGGGATGGGCTTCATCCGGGAGAGAGAGAGGGACCGGAGGCGGCTAGATGCAGAGGTGGGGAGTAACTAAGTACCTTTAGTCAAGCACTTAAGTAAAATGTGTATTGTACTTGTACTTTATTGGAGTATTTTAATGTTATGTTACTTGTCTACTCCACTACACGACCGAGATAAGTCACAGAGATACATGTTGTTCTTTCGCTCCACTACATGTATTGAATACCTTTAGTTACTTCACAGATGTGGATGAATGATGTGAAGTATAATCAAGTGTTAAATCAGACTTTAGTTCCACCTTGAGTAAATCCACAAGCTACCCTGCAGTATACAAAGCCATTCAAACTAGCTGCACCTTCACCAGCTTTGAGAACACTTTCATGATCAATCATTATAAAACATATCATATATATTATTCTGAAAAGGACCAATCTGCACAATGACTACTTTTACTGTCGCTACTTTTACTATATTTAGATGATAATACTTTTCTACTTTTACTTGAGTAACATTTGAATGCAGGACTTTCACTGTAACAGAGTATTCCTACCCTCTGTATACTTCTACTTTTACTCAAGTACAAGATCTGAGTACTTCAACTTTTACTCAAATACCAGATCTAAGTACTTCTCCTGGCTCTGTATTTATGATGCATTGTTGGTGGAGCCTGGGACTGAAGAACTTACTTTAGCCCATAATGTATTGGTACTTTTACTAAAGCATCTGAACTCTTCTCCCCCCTCTGTCTGGACCTGCAGGATGTGGCGGTGTCTCCGGGTCAGGTTCACGGCGGCAGTATCAGCAGCGACACTAAGGTGGTTTTCATTAAATCTGACCGGGATTACAGCATCTTTTACGACGTGCACATCTTCTACTACCTGTGGTACGGGGACCCGGCCACCGACAACAAGTACATCCACTGGGACCACGTGCTGGTGCCGCACTGGGACCCTAAGATCGCAGCCAGTCACGCCCAGGGGAGACACATGCCTCCGGAGGACATAGCCTCCAGTTTCTACCCGGAGCTCGGCCCCTACAGCTCCAGAGACCCCAAGGTGCTGGAGTCCCACATGGCGCAGATAGAGGAGGCTGCAGCAGGTAAACATACATATCAATTATACAACTGCCCAAATATTGAACAATTAATTAATACAAAAACAGATAGAGGAGGCTGCAGCAGGTAACCGATTTCAAAATACTGCTAAATGCATCTGGAAAAGTAAAGGACTTTATTTGGATAATAGTTACAATTAAAAATACATGTTTATATTATTTTACACTTTTTATTTATTGACTTAGTTGTCCATACATGTACTTTCAAGATCTCCCTTTATTTTTGCAAACAGTTTAAATAAAACAAGACAAGTAGACTTGCCTTGAATCTGAAGGTCCTTTTGTTCACATGATAAAAAAATACAAATAAAAACTGCCCAAAAAATGAACAATTAATTAATAATTTCTGTAATTTATAAAAATAATAATCATATAATAGTTCAAATGTAATCTAATAATCTGGTTCAAATAACTCAACAAAATTGAGTGCAATATTGAGATGATGATTCAAAAATATATATTTTGTGCAGCCCTGGTGTAAATAAAGTTGCCACAGGTTTATTGATTATTAACCAATCAATGCTTTAACCTCCACCCTCAATGTATTAACTCACATGTGGTTCTGTCCTGGGATATCAATGATAAAACTGCCCAAATATTGAACAATGAATTAATAAAAAACAAACATTATAATTTATAAAAATAATAATAATGTAACAGTAGACATTTCTACTGATAATCTAAATAATTCAACAAAATAGAGTGCAAGAGATGATGATTAAAAAAATATATGTTGTGCAGCCGTGGTGTAAATAAAGTTACCACAGGTTTGTTAAGCATTACATTGTTACTCTACCTATGTTCCTATAAAGTGAAGATTTGTTTACCTACTTTTGATACATGCTCTGATAGAATAACTGTTGAAAAAACTCAATACAAGAGACCACAGCTTTTATTGATTATCAACCAATCATTGCTTTAACCTCCACCTTCATTCATTGAACTCCCACTCTCTGCCTCTCTGTGGTGTGTTAGGGGTGCTGGTTCTGTCCTGGTACCCCCCCGGCGTGGCAGACGACCACGGGGAGCCCACGGAGGATCTGGTTCCCGCGGTGATGGACGCCGCCCACAGGCACAGCATCAAGGTAACTGGTGAGACAACCGGTATGTTTTCTACTTCCTGACGATTTACTCAATGTGACAGTTTAACGTTAAAGCTGAGTCATGATGTTCCTTTTAACTTAATGTGTGAGTAGTAAGTAATCCTGGGCATGTAAGATTAAGAACATGCAATACATTTGGGATTCAAAGGTCCTAAGGCTTTATTCTTGTATGCACAATAGCTAAATGCAGTTTAGACTCAGGCTCCTCCAACAATAACACATAACAATATACTTAAAATTACAAGAGGCTTGATCCCTTAATGTTTTTTACTGATTTACTGAATGACTAATGACTTTGCAGCGACAAACGTCTCAATATTGTTATTTGTATGATAGTGTTTGACAAGTTATTATCTTGTGCATATAGGTTTAAATGTTATTATTATTAGCTATTGAACAAAAGGATCTGTTGTTATTGTTTTTCAATGGCAGTTGTTGTTATACCTCTACATGTCTTGCAGCTGCAATGCATTGTGGTCCACTGAGGCTCCTACGGTGAATAAAAGTGAGAGTACCAAGTGAGTGGGATCCGGTGGCATCTTCAATTTAAAATCTCTGACCTCAAAACCTGACATTTACAGTGATATGGAGGTGGCAGAGAGATGTTGCCTTTCTCTCTGAGCACATCGTTTTGCCTCAGTGTATTTATCTTCTTCAGTGCCGCGCTCCTTCTAACAGTCAGATCCACTTCAGCACAGCAGGGTCTTAAAGCCAAAACATGCTCAGGATGCATGAGGCAGCAGAGACAAAACACACACACACACACACACACACACACACACACACACACACACACACACACACACACACACACACACACACACACACACACACACACACACTGTACCACAC